TAGCTACCCACAGTGCAACGCTCCGGAAATCAACGCTAGCCCCCGTACATGGACGCACACCGCCGAATTAATGTGCTTAGTGTGGTTGCATACAATCGAATTTATACAACCTGTTTTCCAAATTCGAATTATATAAATTCGGATTAATCCCGTAGTGTAGACATACCCTAAATAGATCACTTGCTTTGGGGAGTAGAGGACTAGATTGCTCATCACACATTAAACCATAACCTAATCTGTGTTGGGGGCAGTAAGAAGAAAGTTGCATCTTCTTGAAAGATGCAAAGCAACAGCATATCTAGGCTTTAGTTTCCCCATCTGCAAAATGAGGATAAGAGATTCTTGAATATCCCGTCCTCAAATGGATGTGGTTAGCATTAATTACTTAATGGTGGCAAATGGCTTTGAAGATACAAAATGCTGTTTGGAGAGAGATGGACATTAGAGCTGGGGGAGGGAGGCCTTGAAAATTTGGTTGATATGACAGGGTAACAGGGTTCGCACTCAACAGTAGTGCATCGCCTCATGTCTAGATCTGGAAAGTAGATCTCGTGGCGTCGGGTGCCCCCTTCTACTCTCAGCTTGCTCTCCGACAATCTCTCTTCTGATAACTTGGCAGGAGCCGTGAAATTGACAAGAAAGCTGGGCAGCTAGAGCTCACCTCCCCCTGCTCCTCTGGAGAGCAGGGCGGCTGGATCCTGCTCCTAGCTGGGAGCTAGCCCCGTGGCTTTGGACTAAGCTGTGAAATTGAAAAGGCTGCCCAGCTCCCAGTGGGGGTGGGTGGGTGGCCAAGAAGCTGGGGCAGCTGGCCCCACTTTCCAGGGGTGAGAAGTGGCTTCCCCCAGCTCCCAGTGGGGAATGCGGGAGGGGGGAGTGGCAGCCTGCCAGATCCCAAGAGCCTGTGGGGCAGACAGCTGCCAGCGGAGCTGAGACACCGGGCTCTCAGCTCCCCAGACTGCCCCTCTTAGGTCAGTGGAAGTGCTTCTGGTGAGGATGCGCACCACTGACAGAAGGAGGGTAGTGTGGACATGCACCTCCACAGTAATTACTGTGGTGGCTATAAGTCGACCTAATATAGGTTGACTTATGTTTATAGTGTAGACATACCCTCAGGTAATGCCAGGTAACTTAATTGGCCTCTCAGACCCTCATGAACACTATCAGGGCTGGTGTGGGGTGCACATCCCATCACAGGGAGGTCTTTGCCTGCTGAGGGCAGGTATGTATGACTGAAAGCCTCTGCCTGTTAGGGCACCAGGAGAGAGCCCATGAGTCTGGCTTAGTGGCACCTTGTATCCAGAAGACACCTTTTTGGAAACAGACTAGCTTTTGTTTGTTTGTTTTTGCAATAAGATGTGAACGATATCTGTAGAATATTAGCTTATCATAGAAGATTAGGGTTGGAAGAGACCTCAGGAGGTCATCTAGTCCAACCCCCTGCTCAAAGCAGGACCAACCCCAACTAAATCATCCCAGCCAGGGCTTTGTCAAGCCTGGCCTTGAAAACTTCTAAGGATGGAGATTCCACCTTAGAGATTCCACTTATATTATGACAGGTTTCAGAGTAGCAGCCGTGTTAGTCTGTATCCGCAAAAAGAAGAACAGGAGTACTTGTGGCACCTTAGAGACTAACAAATTTATTAGAGCATAAGCTTTCGTGGACTACAGCCCACTTCTTCGGATGCACTTATATTATGCTTCCCTCTAGTCTCTGTGCTGCAATAACTTCATAAACCTGCAAGAGCTGTGAAAAGGATAACAGAATCCTGCCACCCAGAAATAGTGACAACCATCTCAAGGGATGGAAACTAACATCTTGGACGCTGCCAGTCGCCTGTCACTGAATGTCCCAGTGGGTTTGAATACCATCCCCCTAGGATTAGCTCTGTAATCATCCCATTACTGATTTATGGCATAAGCCGTCTAGCACAGAGTTGGTGGGTGTTACAGACATTTCAAATGTTGCAGCGCATCGGTGAAAATTGAACAGTTGTCTCTGACCTGTGGTGAATTAAATGAATGCTTCCCATGTGCTAATTGAGTTGAATAAAACCAGTTAAAACAAGAGCATGAGAAAAGCAGTCGCTTTTGTAGTTTCTTACGTCACATGACTAATGGAATATTTTTTTAAAAAATACTGCTTGTTCTTTACATTACAATTTCAAGTCCTAACCAGACCTGAAGACTGTAGGATTACGGGGAGAACTGGGGGAAATGAAAGCACACAAGCTAAGTGTGTGACAGCTGAGCAATGGGGAGGGGAAGAGGTTAGTAGCCAGACTGATTAAGTTGCTTTGTTTTTACTTAACCCATATTTAGTTCCACTGACTAACATGTTGGAGAAAGAAAGCTTTTGATGAAGGCTCAATGCTCTTGTTAAGGTGTGAGAGCTAATAACATACATCTTCTGAAATATCCATAGTTCCTTCAGCCAAACTAGGAAAGATCAAAGCTGTCGTGTGATATTTCTAAGTTTTTTTTAACAAAAAGAAAAACCCAAATGAACAAAGATCCCCGCCCCCCCAACCTTCAGCCCCTCTTTAGCTGTCATACTGCAGCAAAAGGGGCAGAAGTCCAATTCTCCTCCTCCCTCCCTCTTTGCAGGTCACCTTTAACATCCCTGCTAATCCTGTAACTGGCAGTCACTGACAACAGTAAAGAAGTACACATCAGCCTGTGTTGTTTGCATGAACAGTGTGTAACGTGTTTTAGATCTAGCATTCAGTAATTTGTAGCAATTATTTTAACATAGTACCTTTCCTCCCCTCATTGTATCAGCTTCAGATTATTTCTTAGGGGTAAAATAGCAAAGCAAATAACTCCTGTTTTTGAGTTCTCGTAGCCGTTGCAGTACAAAGTAAAAGCCACAAAGCTGGCTGAAAACACTTATGTCAGCAGTAAGTAGATTGAATTAGAGCTCCAGTCTTGATCTTCATCTTTGAAATCATGACAGAAAAATGCTTTTGGAGTTCTTCAAAAACTTGCCTGCGATGCCATAGTGGCATGGACTCATTCATTTTGAATAATGGCCTTTACCCCGATGCCTTTTTTTAATCACAAAGCTGGTGAGTGACTTTGGCACTTGCACATAATTTACTTATCTTCTGTTTATCTCCTGTTTTCCCATCAATCTTGTTCTGGCTAGAAGAGTTTTTAGAATCTCTTTATTGTACTGCTGTATAACTAGCCATTCTTGGGATCTCTGTCTCCAACTTTATATATTCATCTTAATTTTCCAAAGGGACTGTTAATTTTGTGTGCCCAGCTTGAGCTGCCATAGTAGCCTGAGGGAAGGTGCACGGTAATTTCCACTCCTCTCTAAACTGACTCAGGTTAGGTTTCCCCTTTTGAAAATGGAGGCCATTATATACATATACAATCTGAAACGGGGGGAAGAATCTGGTGATATTTATTTTCTCCCCCTCTAGGTATACACAATTTAAAAATCATTTGTAAAAACCCTCATTTCTTGCATTGCCTACAAATAGGAACTATGGTAGAGGAGCTCCTTGTGCAAGAGGAGCAGTGAGGGAGATGATCTGGCTATACATAACATTTCAGAAAGAATTCCTCCTTGTCAGTTACTATTTGTGGACACTGCAGGATAAGTGAATGTTTCTAAATGATTTGGATAAGGAGCAGAGAGATGGGCTTGGCATCCTGAGATTCTAAGGTCATTCTGTGCATAGGAGCAGTGTGGAAAAAGGCACAGAGATGGGAGAAGTAGAAATAACTGGATGTCAGTGTTGACATGGTTTCTAGAATGGTGGAGTTGGAGGGGTTGCAATAGGAGATCAGGTTCTAGATGTTGGCTGGGACACGGCTGTACATGACCTCAAAGAGAAGAGAAGGGATTGAAACTTGGTATGTTGGCCAGACTCAAAGAATAGTGGGGGACATGGTTTGATCCAAATGTGGGAGCGACCACTTTAGCAGCAGTGTGTGGAGTGTGGCTGAGCTGTGTTGTTAATTTTGGTATCTAAGAAGCACATGAGGTTTCAGGATCTACATGAGTAAAGACCTTTTTATATATGAGTTGTATTGTCTTGATCCCTTCAAACTGACATGTGAAGCCACGAATGTGTATATGGGTATTATGGTTATTGTATGGCTGGGGACTGGAATGCATTATAGATGTGAGGAAAAGCTTTTCTTCAGTTCCACGCCATATTTGCATAGCTGGGATTTACATTGCTTCCCACTAAATAATGTATAGTGCAAGCCCCAGTCATAGCAGCATATGGTCAGAAGGAAGAAATTGCTGGAGTATTGGATACCCAGGACTCTGTTCCTCACTGTGTACCCCATTGCCTTCTGGAAGAAGCATTCCTGTTTGCAGTTAGAGTAGGGTGGGATGTATACATTCAGACAAGTTTATATATATTCTAAATCCTTATATCTTTAGCAAACCAATGTTCTACCTGTAAATGTCAATCTATAAGGTGACTATGATGAATGTATACTACATAAGAAGTGGAACCTGGTATGTGATTGGGTAGCCTTCATTATTCAGACCAAACAGGCTTTAAAAATTGCACCTTATATATTGCACAGATGACTAAATGGGACTTGATTTTCTTTTCTTTTTTCCCCCCTCCCCAGTTGTTGCAGTCACTGGAGTCTGAAACCTCTCGATTAGAAGCCTTTCTGGAATGGAAACGACTGGAACCAGTTTATTGGCACTGGATGGTAATGAATCAAACTAAATATTAAGGGTGCAGTTTTCTTACATCTAACAAACAACTGGCTGCTCCTCAAACATCCTTCCCATATATTTGGAAAAGTGAATGTCAACAACCTATACAACTTCCTTTTGAAGATGAGGCCAGTTAAATTAAAGGACATATTCTTAGATCTCCCTCATCATTCTAGGTTTCAGAGTAGCAGCCGTGTTAGTCTGTATCCGCAAAAAAAATCATCATTCTAGCCTCTGTTGTATGACTTACTCAGCGGCCGCTCCAAGCACGTGCCTGGGGCGGCAAGCCATGGGGGGCACCCTGCCGGTCCCTGCGAGGGTGGCAGTCAGGCAGCCTTCGGTGGCATGTCTGCGGGAAGTCCGCGGCTTCAGCAGCAATTTGGCGGCGGGTACGCCGAAGCCACGGGACTGGCGGACCTCCCACAGGCAAGCCGCCGAAGGCAGCCTGCCTGCCATGCTTGGGGCGGCAAAAAAGCTAGAGCCGCCCCTGGACTTACTCAGACAAGTTAAGAAACTGGAGGGAAGAAAAGCTGAATTCAGGCATCTACAATTATCACAAATGGAAATGCCTGATCTTTTATGTTTAAGAAAACATAGCAATCACACATTTTGTTATAAATTAAATGGCTAGTCAGAAGAGGAACTTTAAGTTTTATTACAGACTCAAAGACAACTAAATTTGTAAGCAGTTGAAATTTCAAACAACTTCATTTTTCCAGCCAGACAGTGTGTTGAAATTGCAGATTTCCCCTTGAACTGTGTTGAATGATCATAAGAAAATCAATAAGCCCTCTATGCATCTTATGACTTCTATACATCTCACTTCTGTATTAAACTTTCACCAATTTACAGCTGCTGAAAGTAATTCTTAAAAAACAGCAATTTAACAAAATGAGTTTACAGAATTTGTAGAAGCAGGACCATTAATTGCCAGTGTACCTTGTTCTATACAGAGAGCAAAATAAAGGAGTAGAAAATCATATAACCTGTCTTGAAAAATATTTAAAAACCCACTAGCATGTGTGTGTTGTCAGCAAAGGTGATTGTTTCTATAATAGCTGGTGCTTTATTTATCTCTATTATTGTGCTGCTCTGAAAAGTATCAGCATTAGGGTGGGCACAGATCCAGAATCATACAAACAAGTGTTCAGATCAGGCAAATTGTAACTGCAGTTGCTATGGAGTTTTGATCTACTCACCAGGGGCCTGCTGCTGTGAGGCGCTGAGCTGGTTGTGGAGGGTACTGTGAACATCATAGGATGGGCTCTGCACCTCTCTGGATGAGGTCCTGAATAAATACTGGCCAAATAGTACATCATTATTTGAGAATCTAACACACTATAATTCCTAATTGTAAATGTGTATTTTCTCTCTGTGGGATCAATTTCTGTTTTCTTTCCTTTCTGTTTTTGTTGTTCTTGAATGCTGTAGAACATACTAAAGAACCCAGATAAGATGTATTTTGACCCATGTTGTAACTATCTAGCAGAATTATCATAAGAACTTTTTGCATTAGAAAAAGGTTGTCTGGTTCAGAAAACAAGTGCTTCTATGTTTCTTAATTCCACGCTACTGTGGTTTTCATTTGACCCCTCCATTTTCCCCTTAAGAAGCAAGCCAAAGTGTCTCTTTGCTTGCTTCAGCTACTTTTCCTGCTGAATTTTCCCCATATGTTTATCACCGCTTGCATGGGATACTTCTATCTGATTTCCTGTTTACTCTTGTGTATAGTTTTCTCAACTTTTAGATTACATCCTCTAGTTTTTTAAATCATCATCAGTATAAAAATATATTTCTATCAACTGTATCAATCCCTTTCATATTTTGGAGACCATCTTTTGCCAGTGAGCATAAACTCAGATTCCTTAACCTTTCTTTATCATTGTTCCAACTAGTATAATCTGTGCTGTCAGCCCCTTTCTGTGAAGTGTGCAGAACTGCACTTGTTATCTCTATGGGGTCTACCTACCTTAGGGCTAGGCTAACAGTCTCACTGCCTTGATTTATATTCGGTCCTTCTGCTATTATAACTCTTTAGTTCTTTGAGATGATCTCTGGACATTCCCACTCTGGGGATGTACAGAGGTCATCTCCAAGAACTCCAGTTACAGGTGAGTAACCTTCCTTTTATGATTTCTCCTTTTTACTGTGGCTGTGTGCTGAGCTGATGGACTGAATGGTTCCCTCACAGTAATGTGGAAGCAGAGAAAAGAACTGACAGGAGGGAACTGCAATGCATGACGGTTCTTAGCAAGAGTCAGGCTTCGTTAGCAAGAGTCAGGCTTCGTTAGCAAGACTCAGTCTTTGTTAGCAAGAGTCAAGCTAGCTGTAACCCTGATAACCCTGATAACGCGAGATTTATAGAAGCGAGGAATGTGTGAGGCGGGTGAGGAAGAACTGTGTAATAAGTCATCATGACCTGGTATGTATAGATAAGGTGTAGGAGACCTTGTGTAGATAAGGTATAGAAAATATTGTATATTGGCAGGAGTCAAAACAATTGAGAAACGAGATGTCAAAGAGACAAAATGCAGCTGTCTGTCCCTCATTATTTCTGTGAATGAAAGGTATAAATGCTTGCATGTAATTAGTTACCAGAGAGAGATCTGCTTAGCTCTCTCCTCTGCACAATTGTGAGAGTTAATAAAGCTTCTGACTTGCTGTACCTAAACAAAAGAGTGAGAACTCAGTTTTTCTCCGACAGTAACCTGCAGCTCTTTTGATCACTGTGGGGAATGGTAATTACATTTAGTTCAGATTCCCTGAACTGCTTCCTTACTCCCAGATTATTTAATATTTTTACAATGAATGCCTCTGCTCTCCAGTCATCTAGACCAGCCAAGTCTCTTGGATTCTGGCTGTCACATTCCTCTTTCCTTTCTTTGTCTCCAGGCTTTATCTTATCTGCCAACTTGAAGATCTTATTTTCAGAACCCTTGAACTCATAGAATCATAGAATCATAGAATATCAGAGTTGGAAGGGACCTCAAGAGGTCATCTAGTCCAACCCCCTGCTCAAAGCAGGACCAATTCCCAGCTAAATCATCCCAGCCAGGGCTTTGTCAAGCCGGGCCTTAAAAACCTCCAAGGAAGGAGACTCCACCACC